TTTGGAAAAGCCCTAGCGAAGGTTCGGTTTGGGTCTGGTTGCGTCATTCAGTCGGAGGACCCAACGGTATGGGCTGAGGAAATCAAGAAGGTCTGGGCAAGAGATCGAGAAATCCGTCTAGCAGAATCTGACGACCTACGCAAAAACTATGCGGAGAAATACAGTTGGGCCAAACAGTGCAACGATCTAGTCGAACACGTCTTAACCATGGCTGCAGGTATGAAACAAGCTGAAACAGTTACTAGTCACGTTTTTAGCAATAATTTACCCTCTGCAAGGCTGTTGCCTAAGGAAATTTTTAAGGAGCCCTTCGGGCTTCTTCTACCAAAAGTTAGGAGCCCAAGTCACTTTTTTAGGAGCCCAAATAAAATTCTCCGTGGTCAATCCAGGGGGGNGATCAGTTATGCCGTTTGGAGAAAGGAATAACTTTACACGGTGTAGTTGAAAACATATAATTGTATTGTATTTACAAATTGTTACCACACAAAATTATATTCCTTTCAAAAACTCAACCTCGGGTTTAGTTTTAAAATATTCTTAAAATTTCGCAAAGTTCAGCCTCGATGTTATCATAAAACATATTCTTATAAAAAAGAAAAAGCGTATACCTCACTGCTTTTGGCCTGTACCGACGACCTCGTGAAATTGAAAAAATATGAACTAAGTGTTTCAATTGACTTCTTATTCATGTATTTTTCGTGATTTCAGTAAAAGAAGGTTGCCCTTCGAAAGATGAGCTGGAAAAGCTGTCACTGAGAATTGGAAAATCTTGGGAGAGCCTGGCACGTCGTTTGGGATTCAGTGATGAAGGAGATATTACTAGATTCCATAAGAATAACGAAGAATACGAAAAAAAGGCGTTGAAAATGTTGTTTGAGTGGAAACAAAATAATGCCTCTGATGCAACTTACAAGGTTCTACATTCTGCCCTTTGTCATGAGTTTGTAAAGCGCAGAGATTTAGCAGAAGAGTTTTGTTGCTGTTAATTGCGGCTCAGTTCAGGTAATAGGCCCTTTGCAGCTGGGGTCACGTGACCAAATTTTTACTAAAACATTTTTATATTATGGATTATAACTAAAAGAATGTCAGAAAAGGAAAGAGCATATCGAAAGTACCGAAATGGCCAAGTTTGAGGTCTCTGTAAGTTAATACAACAGTTTGAATTTTCGGAAAATTTATAGGATATTTATGGAAAATGTTGCTGGACAGCAAGACCTTGCTCTCCAAGTGACAACTTTTTCCAGACAAATCTTTTTAATTTTTTACAATTTCAAACCGTTATAAAATCTCATTCTTTAAAGCCAGTGGCCTCAAACTTGGCCATTTTGATATTTTCGACATGTTTTAAACATTTCTGGCATTCTTTAAGTTATAGCCCATAATTTTATGAAAAGTAGGTCACCTGATGGCTTAGCTGTAAGAAAGAGGGCAAATGGGCCTATCTGTCCACAGACATTTATTTCTTGTAACGAGTTATTAGTAATTTGAAGTAAAAAC